TCTCTCTCTCTCTCTCTCTCTCTCTCTCTCTCTCTCTCTCTCTCTCTCTCTCTCTCTCTCTGTGTGTGTGTGTGTGTGTGTGTGTGTGTGTATGTTACATGCCCAGTTGGGCGATGTACATATATAGCCAAGGATCCGCAATGTGATGAAAAGGACTGAGTGGACAATGCAGTGCTAGTGGAATCTCAACAAGCAGTGTACATCCTGATACATACAAAAATGGTGCTTTGTAGCACAGTGGAAGACTTAGATATAAGTCCTGACCTGACCGGGACTGACCTCCCTCACGTAGTACAAGACAGCGTAGTGGAATGCTAGAATACCAATGACTAGCCCAATCAATGTCGCAATGCAGACCAAACATACATCATCCTCATCACAAGGTGTGAAGGGGCCTGGCGCTACACACAGGAAGAATGCGCCAGGTCCAGATCATATATAGGCAAGGATCCGCAATGTGATGAAAAGGACTGAATGGACAATGCAGTGCTAGTGGAATCTCAACAAGCAGTGTACATCCTGATACATACAAAAATGGTGCTTTGTGATGAAAAGGACTGAATGGACAATGCAGTGCTAGTGGAATCTCAACAAGCAGTGTACATCCTGATACGTACAAAAATGGTGCTTTGTAGCACAGTGGAAGACTTAGATATAAGTCCTGACCTGACCAGGTCTGACCTCCCTCACGTAGTACAAGACAGCGTAGTGGAATGCTAGAATACCAACGACTAGCCCAATCAATGTCGCAATGCAGACCAAACATACATCATCCTCATCACAAGGTGTGAAGGGGCCTGGCGCTACACACAGGAAGAATGCTCCAGGTCCAGATCATGCACAGACGAAGAGGAGGGAATCAGACGAAGAAGAAGGGGGGGGAGATGGGAATGTTGTCAGCACCAAGTCTTCATTACAAGTCCCAAATAATCCTCGTCAAAATGTCTGAAACCCCATGTCGAGTCTGGGTCCAAATGTCACCAATCCCGCTCTCTCGTAGTCTGCTGATGCAATGAAGTCAGGTAGCGAGAGGGTGAGAGGGAGATGGTGGACTGAGAAGAGGAAGAAGAAGAACTCTCTCTCTCTCCCATGTGCCAGGTACTAACCTGTGAAGATGGCGCTGTGCTGCAGGTACCCCGAAGAGGAAGCTGGAGTTATGGCGCTGCAGGTAAGTCTCCCTGTCCTCCGCCAACCATCTCTCTCTCTCCAACGCTACTCTAGCTCCTAATAGCGCCCAGCGCTGAAGACTACTGCTAACGCTACTACTACTACTGCAGCGCTCCTCCAGAGTGCTGCTGCCGAATCCTGAAGACTACCTCCTGCGTCCTGAACTGCATGTGAAGTGCCTGGGAAGTCCCTATGAACTACCTGCAGCCTGCAGGGCGGGCCAGTCTTATATAGTGCTGGCCCGTCCAGGAGGCTGCTCTTGCCAATGCCAAAACGTGCCAGACCCTGGGGTTGAAGCTCAAACAAAGGTTGTCTTGAAAATAGGCCAAAAATGGCCTGAGCTAAAACCCTGGTCTGGTGCCTACGTTTCAGGGCAGGTCGATCTTATGAAGGCCTGAAAATGGCCCTCCGTTTCAGGCTGAAAAGACTCAGGGCCTGGAGGGCCCCGTTTTAGGCTGAAACGACACAGGGCCTGTAGGCCCTTGTTTTCAGGCTTTCAGGCTGAAAACAACACGAGGCCTGTAGGCCCTTGTTTTGAGGCTTTCAGGCTGAAAACAGCACGGGGCCTGCAGGCCCTTGTTTTCAGGCTTTCAGGCTGAAAACAACACGGGCCTGAAAATGGCCCGAGCAGCCTGTTGCAAACGCAGCATGTAACACACTCTCTCTCTCTCTCTCTCTCTCTCTCTCTCTCTCTCTCTCTCTCTCTCGTGCGCACGCGCGCACCCAATCACCCACAGTTCGTGTGAACCCCACGAAAAAAGCACGACTGTACCAGACTGTTTCGTTGGACTTTCACCAACTCATCAGGAGGTCCAACCCCGATAGTCTGCCCATGATGCATTTGCATGCATGCGTGTGTTTGTGCTTGTGTGTGTGTGGGGCGGGCATTCGTGTGAGTGTGTGCTGTGCCTGCATGTGCATGTGTGCGTGGATGTGCTTGAGCATGTGCTTGTTCGAGTGGACGGGTGGGCGTTCGTGTGAGTGTGTGCTGTGCACCGCCAAAGATATGAGGGGGGGCAGAACCGCTGAGCCCAAGAGGAGACCTTCCCGCCTGGAACCGGTTTCTCCCCACACCTCGCAGCCCTAACTTCGGTTGAGCTGCAAACTTCTAATGTGGGCCGTTGGCCAACTGGTACCAGCCCGACAGCCCCGATTGCCCCGCTATCTTAAAGTTTTAAGATCGGGGGCAATCCCGGCCGTCCGGCTGGTAGAACCGCGAATGGCCTGGATCACCGCGTGATCTTAAAATCTTAAGATCGTGGGGCAATCCGGGCCGGTAGGTCCGCGGACGGCCCGGATGCCAAAATTCTCACATTCGCAATTTTAACAAGTGTAGGGATTCTAATCAATCAATCAATCAATCAATCAATCAATCAATCAATCAAACTATTCACGCTTCAGGTCAGGTTTAGTCCTGATTGATTCAAACGGACAATGCAGCATCAGCAAAGCATCAACAAGCAATGTACATCCAGATACATACGAAAATAGCAACGGAAGACTCAAAGACATGACCTGTCAGATACTGATGCGACACCCCATCATACACCACATGTGAGAGAGAGGGGAGGGATCGCATACATGGAAGAAAGGTCCCTCCTTGAGCACGCACATGGGGAGATGCCACGGATGAGGAGATTGGGGAGAGGCGAGACGGAGATGGAGGTGAGGGAGAAGACCAAGATTGCGATAGCGAAGTCCAAAAAAGAGCCTCCCTGGTGAATGTCTGCCACAAAATGTCGAATCAGATCTGGGCCGCCAAAGAAGAAGAAGAGGAAGAAGAAGAGGAAGGAAGAAGAGGAAGGAAGAAGAGGAAGAAGAGGAAGGAAGAAGAAGAAGAAGAAGAAGAAGAAGAAGAAGAAGAAGAAGAAGAAGAAGAAGGAGGAAGAAGAGATGGAGGGTGAGATTAAGAAGAAGATGAAGATGCCATCCTCCTTGCTGTCTCACCTGCAGGTTAATGCCGCCATGTACTAACTGCCGCCGGCGTGTCTCTCTGTGCAGGTCACTGGCGTGGAGTCCAGCTATGGCGCCCAGGTAAGTACTGCCTCAGCGGGTATGGCCTCCGCCTCACCTCCTACCTACGCCTCTACACCTTAGCGCAGAACTGTGTCGCGCTGCTCCAGCAGTGTGTCGCCCAAGAAGTGAGGTACTCGAACTGTGCGTCTTCCCTGGCCTGGCCCAGCTACTCGAACTGTGTGTCTGCCCTGGCCTGGCCCAGCTATATATATTATGGGCCTTGCTGGTGTGCCTCTGGTCCTTGGCCTGAAACGGCCTGCCTGGGTCCCTACCATCCAGGCCCTCCCTGCTAATGCAGCAGGGAATGTCCGCTACCGGACATACATGAACCTGGCCCGAAAGGGCCTGCCTGTGAAAGAAGAAGGCCCAAAACGTGGCCTTTGTCCGAACAGAGCAAAAGTCTGTTCGGACGAACTGCAAGTCCGAAACGACATCTGAACAGACAAAAATAGGACAGCAAATAAATAAATACATAAATAATGAATGAATCCTGTGGCCCTAAGGCCGGCCATGGGCCTCCAGGGCGCATGTCCGAAGAGCGTGGGGCCTGGGGGCCCCTAGTTCTGCCAGGCCCCCAAAATGGGGCCCATGTGCAGGCTCAGCATGTAACACCCACGGGTTCAAGACAACCACACGGCGCCGTTTTGAAAGCCAAGTCTAATCACCGAGGGAAACTTCACCACCTATTGAAAAAAGTCTGGCAACACAAACGACTTGTTCACATTTCACTGGTCAAAGTCGTACCCACTCCGAATAGAACGGGTGACCTTCAAGTTCTTCAACCAACAATGCCAGTCACATAGCGAGAGTGAATTGGGATAAAATGAAATCCCTATAATGAAGATTTCAGGGATTTCATTTCACCCAGCCCAACCACGACTTCCCATTCTCCATAATCCAATGTACACAAACTCCACCTCAATCCGATAATCAGCACCTATGTGCGCAGGAGAACACAGCAGAACAAGTGTTCCAAACCACAGCATTGCAAGACCGAGAGGCGAGTCTGAAGCTGTAGTACCAATCAGACCGTGCGGGTGACCTTGATTCCTGGCCGGCGCGGCCGGGTCCCGTGAAAAAAGGGGGGGAATTTTGAAAAAAAAAATATATATATATATATACCCTGCAAATAGAAAGAAGCACTCTTTGAAAAAAGACAAGAAAAGATAACTACCTTTCCCGTGGCTGCATCTACTACTGTAGAAGTCCTCAACTTTGGTCGGCCTATCTCCATGATCCTGTCACATTCCTGTAGCACACAAAAACATTGATGAATGTGTTTGAGAGAGGGAAAGAGAGAGGGAGCACGGGAGAGAGAGAGAGAGAGGGGGAGAGAGAGAGAGAGAGAGAGAGAGAGAGAGAGAGAGAGAGAGAGAGAGAGAGAGAGAGAGAGAGAGAGAGTCATCAACAAAGTGTGCGCTATGTTGTTTCGAGGAACAAGAAGAAGTGGAAGAGGATAGGGAAGAAAAGGAAGAAAGCCGCAGCAGAAGAAGAAAGTCTCACTCGCTTTGCCCTTTCTTTTTTCTGTCATTTGTTTCACTTTTCTTTTTGTCCACCAATCCTCCTGGCATGTAGTGCAAGCTCTCCCAAACACTACCCCTGTTGTCAATCGCAGCAGCCCCGATTCCAATCCCCAGCACACATTGTCCATCAGACTCCATCCACCGAAGTAACGAGTAGTGTTACCCATGCCAGATGGGTATGAGGTAAGCCCCATATACAGGAGCAAATTCACCAAGAGCAGATGAGCAAAAACACAAAACAATTTTCAAAACCCAAGCCAACTTGTTCACCAACTATACATTCCAAAGAAAGAGAGAGACACACGGCGAGTCACTGGGCTCCACAACGAGGTTCAGGACTCTACTAAAGTGGAGAGAGATGGTGAGCAGTCGACACAGTCAGACATACTAACCAGCAAACATAGCCGAAAGTTCCACGAAACAATATTGCAATGCACCCCCGACTGATATAGAAAAAAATAAAATAAAATATAGACTAATATAGTACAACTAGATTATCTATTGCGTCTTCACCCGCAAAGGTAGCAAATTTTGGAAACAAAAAGCAGATATATATCATCAGGACTGTGGCCAGCCAGTGGCAGTCGGATACCAACTAATCTGTTGTGCGGTATATACTTCATGCAACAATTACCTTGCTAGCACAACTTCCCCTTCTATCCTCCCCCCCCCCCCCCCCCTCCTCTTCTGGAGTGAAAGGAGTATTATTTCCCAGATGTGAGGGCGATTCTTTGCATGACATTTTTACAAAATTGCTGGTGAGCGATATGCTTTTGATCTGGCTGTCACATAAAAGTGACTTCCATAACGACGACATACTCCCACATGTTATGCCTCAACTTATGCGCACATAGGGTAGAAGTTTTGCTATCAATTTCAAACTGCCTATCCCTGTTGTTCAAATGGACTTGTTCAGCATCTTCACCAGGTTTAAATGATCGGAGTACATCCCACCACATTCACAGTGCACCTCTCTCTCTCTCTCTCTCTCTCTCTCTCTCTCTCTCTCTCTCTCTCTCTCTCTCTCTCGCGCGCGCGCGCGCGCGCGCGCGCCTTTCTTGTTCAGTGCAATACAAAAAGAAAGTGCTGGCAAATGGATTGTCACACTGCCATATACGAATTCTGTTGATCTTTTTTCCTCAGCGCAATGCATAAGAACATTTTGGCAGATGTACGAATCAGCGTATGCCAAATAGTGGAAAACCCGTGGAAATTATGAAGCATAAAAAAATGACGACATCCAACTGCCAGCTCGACTGTAAGAGCACACCCTGGCGCCCATTTTTCCTCACAGCAAATGAAGTTCCTCTTGCTCCCTCGTTACCGACCCCTCCCTGTCCGCCATAACCTCCAAAAAAGACTCACCTGCAGACTTTCCCACTTTGTCGATATTTGCTCCTCCCCATAAACCTCTTCCCCCTTTGTCACATGCCCTTCCCCCATGAACACCTCCCCCCTCTTTGTCGTGCCCCTCCTCTGTTGCTCCCTTGTCATGTGCCCCTCCTCCATGAACCTCTTCCGCCACCACGAACCTCTTCGCCTCCCCCTCTTCCCCCACCCCTGCATACTGTACATCTCTCACTCTTCAAGAGTCGCAGAAGTGAAAACAAAAACAAATCCATCAGGTCGACCGTACGAATCAGTACATACTACATATACATAGTCCAAATTTTAGGACACAAAAATTAAATGATCCAAAGTGCAGCATCCAGCTCAACTGCAAATGCACACCCTGGCCTTCATGTTTGTTGACACGTATAAATCGGGAAACGGACCAAAATGGTCCAAAAAAGAAAAGAAAAAAGAAGTTCCCCGTCGGCGGCATAGGCCTAAAGCAGGAAACAGTTTTTATCCAGTTCTGCATTTGTGACGGTTTGCTATTTGGGAAGAACGGAGGTGTGCTAAATTTAGCACTGAAGAGAGAGGAGAGAGAGGTGTCAGCCATAGTTAGAGGATTCTAGCACTAAACTGCACTTTTTTCAAGTCTGTTTGTGGGTTGCTGAGGGTAGCTAGGCATCCAGGTGAATGTCCGATTTCCTTGGTTTCATCAATCATCTGTGTGTACTTCTAATTTCAGTTTGAGCAAAGCTGTCCAATCAAATGTGAACATGTGACGATGATTGCAATTCAGTGAAGCGTATCAAATATCGTACACAAGTGGCCTCGTCCACAATCTCGGACATGAAACAGAAACTCTTTTCATAAGCTTACCTCCTACCTACTTTCCCATCCGCACTCCCGGCATCCCCACCTGTCCTTGGCCCCCTCTCCCAGAAGTCGAGGGGCAACTGAAGGGTGACCCTGAATCAATTATACAATACTATGCGCTTACAAAGGCCCCAAAAAAGGTTAAGGGAGTCTACACAGGGTTCACAGCGGGCTATCATGGGGGGCCTCCAAAAGGGCTTACCCGGGGGGGGCCCAAGGGGGTATGAAGGCGTCCAAAAGGGGTTTCCTGTTAAGAGGGGTTAGGCAGTGGTCTAATAAGGGTTACCATACCAACCTACCAACAGATCTGAACATCATAAGGGGGAGAAATTCAGTAAATGCAAGAGGAGAAGAGGAGAGCTCACAGGGAAAACTCATGGATAGGAAGAAGGATGAGGCCCTGAGGGATTGAAAAATAGGGGAGTGCACGTACCTCATCACTCAAAAACTTGTTTAACAGAATAATCCGCGGCGACCAACTTAATATCTGTGGTTTCACCTGCCATGAGAAGGAGAATCCAGGTCATAGGTAAGCCTACTGAAGACATAAATTACTCTTAGGCAGAAGTCAGGCCCATTCGAAACGGCGTAGGTTTGAAGCTGTAAACACTGCCAGATATGGTGCCTCCTCCATTGATGCCCTCCTACCTTACCGCCATCATTATCATCATGCATTCCGTGAATTTCTGTCTTTTCGTTTGTCCTCGGGTTTCACATCATCGTCATTTTGTTGTTGCTTTCATTTTCACTTTGCTTAAAGGAGTTATTGAAGTTAATTGAACTTCATTCATTGCTGCTACTGCTGCTGCTTTTTCTTCTTCATTATGCAATGGCCCGCACAGTTGCAGTCTCAGATTACTGCATTTTTCTTGAGTACTGCTGTCCGTCGGTTTGATATCCTGAATTTTCTGAGCCTGTGTGCGTCGCTGTGATTGCCTGGGTGTGGGAGAGTCTATGTGAGGCTTGCTGTGTCCATGAGCTAACTGGATTCTCGTGCTGTGTTGCCTGTTTCCCGGGGGGGGGGGGGGGGGGGGGGGGGGGGGGAGGGGGAGGGGGAGGGGGAGACCAGTTATACGAGGAGCTACAGGGGTAGAACAGATATTGGGCGCCAGACCGACTTAAACCAAAAGTACTTCTAACCCTTCCCTTGCCTAGTCTGGAAAGTCCGGCACGCCAAAGGAAAACGAAGCGGTGTGCGCCTTCATTTGGCTGGCGGCACCAGCCATTTTGCTCTGGAAGGCAGACCCCCAAAACTTGCAGCCGCATGATGACTGTGCCGGCAAACGTCCTGGTGGTTTAAGAAGAAATGCTAGGACCCGTCCTGGTGGTTTAAGAGGAAATGCTAGGACAAAAGTAGAATTTGATATGCACCCGGTGGCATTTTCCAGCAATTTGGGTACTCTTGGAAAGGTCTGGTCGCTTTGAAGTAGGTCATGATGGTCCAGCGCCCAAATGTAGGTACATATCAGGTTAGGTTCAGGCCCTGTAGGTGAATTGCAGGCTGCAATGACGTTCCCGCCAACGGCTGGCGGGAACTTCCCGTAAACCGAGTACATGCTCGGAGTGCTCGGCCAGAGGTACTGGAAAGCTGAGAGTCATGAGTATATGATTATGCATATAGTCAAACAGAGCGGCCCGGGAGAAGAGGACAACAAACGAGGGGCTGTGACAAACTGTTTATAAATTATATATGATTATATTAATTTATATATATGATTATATAATATATATATGATTACATATATGACTATATGCAATTAGTAGTCCGGTCGCTCACCCGGCTGTCATGCTGCTGTTCTGCCCTGAGGGAGAGTGAGGCGGAGCTCTAGGTTGAAGCTGGAGGAGTCAACGGTGAGGGAGAAAGACATCACTGCAGAGTAGTAGTAAAGCAAGTAGGCTGAGGCTATGAAGGTAGAGGGAGAAGTACCTCGGGCTGGGCGATGAAGAGCTGGAAGAGGTGAGTAGAGGTAAAGGAGGACGAAGGAGGAAACTAACAAAAAGACTTACCTTTGGCTATGGTGGACCTTCATCTCCACTTCCCTGATTGGCAATGCATCAGCAAGCCCGCCCCCCCCCTTGGGCCAACTGGCTGGACATGCACTTCATCCAGGAATGTGGCTATTGTAATAACCCTGTTCAGCAGTCGACCTGGGGCCCAAACCGTAGCCCCAGGCTACGCAGTCTGTGGAAGACTGCGCCGGGCTGTGTAACCAACACATGCCCCGGCCTGAGTAAACTGCGTACGGCTGTGGGACCAAACGCCAAGACTTCGGAAAATCAAAGGTCAAAGTCAACTGTCAGTCAAAGTACCATGCCAGGTCTTGGATCAGATTCATTCACTTGTTGAGTGCAGGTACCCAGACTACGACCCAGGCCAAAGAAGATACAGTTGCAGATCTATCCAGACCCTCCAGGCAGGGAGATCTGGACGGCTGAGGTTGGATACTACCGGGGATCAGACCCCGAGTCAACACTATAAGAGCATTGGCTCCTTGACTTTGGTAATTCTGGCTGTCTTGCGTTGACGCTGTTTTCAGCGCCTGACTCTCGCAGCCTTGGTTTGACGCTGCGAGACTGGAGGAAGGCCGGCATTTGCTGACATGGTGAATTACCGCTGGCTGGCTTGCTATCTGGCTGGCGACTGTCTCTGATATGCTGACGTGGCAGTCGCCACGTATTGCTGCTGACGTGGCGCTGCCACATGTCGTACTGTTGGATCCTTACGACCGGCTATTGATCATCGGCTTCGATACTTCAAGGAGGGGTCGTGACTATTCGGGATGAGATCAGGACTTGTGAGGTGTTGTGAATACGTACCTGATGTCTTCATGACGACGAGGCTCCAGCGCTAATTAATGTATTGATCGGTGCCACGTGGCACCCGGAGGCTGAGTCTCTAATTTGTATTCAGATCATTGTTGATGTGGGGTTGCTGTCATAGGAGGAGCCCGGAGAAGAAGTGGGCCTTATCCCTCTCCCTTGTCTAATCTCCCCCACCTCTCTTCGTCCGTGTATGATTATCTCACCCCCCACTTTCTTACTGGATACTATTGTCGTTGAAGATCTATCATTGGTTCGATAATCTTGGCTTTCAGTGTCGAAATTGTATTCACGACTTGGGTTCATTGCACTATGGTGGAATGAGATGGGTGAGGCATGGTAGAAGATAGTTGTCCGTTGAACGTCCATCCTGCAAATAAATGAGTCGCCGTAGTGTAATGACCTGACCAAACACGGACTGAGACACAGCTGATTTCTGAGTTTTGCTCATGGAATGAATGCCTTGCTGAGTTTCCCGCTTGTGACTGAGTTCTCTAAGTCTGTGTGTGTGCACGCTTGCTGGTCTACATGTCTGTCTGAGTGCTTGTCGGCTTGAGTGTGTGTGTGACACGCAAGGGCACTTGTTCGTTCAGTGGGTCCGAAGGGCCAGTACTTACTTGTGGCCGTGACATTGAGGATTGCAGCGGGGGAATACTCTCAAGTGGCCGGGAAAGAGGCCCGCGGCACTTGAAGCAGCGGAAAACACTCAAGTAGCGGGGAAGCCGGTAGCACACCAGTTAGAGGTGGATGTGCCGGGTACTCGAGGCCGATCAGAAGAAGACAAAAGTTGGCATTTTTAGAGGCCCAGTAGTTGTAGGCTAGGTCTAGGCAGGTACCAATCCAACCAGTCTGAGTCTACGGCCTGTACGGGCAATATCAGAGTCTGCAATGATGTTTCCCTCCGAAAGGGAGGAGATACCGGTTGCTTGGAGGCCGCGTGGCCTAGGAAGTCACTCGCCAAGAAGCAAGCAGGCCGCTATATCTCCAGGAGGGGCGAAGTGTTCCTCCTCATTGTCGGTGTGCAAGTTTGGCGACACTCTGGTTGGAGCGCTGGCTGGAGCAGCGCTAGCATCAGAGCAGCGCAGTGCTGCTGGGAAAGGAACAAGGATAGAGAGAGAAGAAAGACAAGGACTAGGAAGGGGGAGCGCCACAGGTACTTACCTGGCTCTGGTGGTTGCAATCTTCATCACCTTGGTGGGTGCTGCAGCAGGAAGGCCCCAGTGGGGTAGAGCTACACCAAGAAGCTTCGAGGCAGAGTCAGGCATGGCGGCCTGAGCTGGAGCAGCCATAGCTGCTTTGTGTTGTCCTTTGAACAGCAGGGCAATACCCTGGTAGTCCGCCATAGCCTCGGCCTTGGAGGAAGGAGGAAGAAAGGTGGCCATGGCTATGGTGGACCTCATGTGATACCCGCACTAGAAGAGGGATTCAAACATTGATTCTGATTCAGCCATTCAACATTATTATTATTATTATTATTATTATTATTATTATTATTATTATTATTATTATTATTTCTTGTTTGAATAAGAGGGTAGGAGATAATGAGGAGGAGAGTGGTTGGCGAAGAAGAAGGGAATTATCATTGGTCTATGCTGGTGTACATCATCTTCTTCTTCTTTTTTTCTTCTTCTTCTTTCTCTCTCTCTCCTCTCAAGTTCATTCATTTCTTTTTGCAATTGGACGGCATTGTACTTTGTCATGAATGTGTACTTTAAAATTGGCCAGGGTCATAACATTGGCTGGTGAGAGTTGACTTATCCACCCTAACCCTAACCTAAGTGGTTAGGGCTGACCACTTAGGGTTAGGGTTGGTCCGAAGTGAGAAGTGGGCCAGTGTGGATTGGGGAAGCTGCCCCCACCTGGTTAGGTCGTGTTTGGTCGACACTAGACCTGACCAGGTTGATTGAGAGTGAGCTTGTGGTGGCGAGACACATCAAGAGGACTTCATGCAACAATTTGAGAGAGGCAACAGTGAGAGGCACTCGCACCTGGAATCTGACCTAAGGGAGACAATTGGTGACTTAGGGGCCTTCCTAAAGTATCTTGCTTTGAATGCCATATCTTTCTACAGTGCTTTGTCTTTTCATTCTGAGCAGATGTACTCTTTAGGTTCTCTTTCAAACAAGGTTACCTGTTGCGGCTTCGCCCGCAAAAAAAATAAAGGAAAAGGGTGCAAATGAGGGTGGATAGGGGTTTGTTGGTCGGGTGTGGGTTTGGGTGGGGTCGGGGCGGTTTTTAGGCTCACCCATGCATTGTTGTTGACACTGCCGATGGAATGCTGCTGCTGCTTTGTAAGCCTTGAATATATATTTTTCTTTCCTTTTTTTTTTTGCTTTTTTGTCCTGCCAAACACCTGATCACAGTTCGCAATCCTTTCAGTTACGGTTTGCTGGGTTGGTGATTTTCCGGATTTGAACTCACCTGTTGTGTGTGTGTCACACTTTGCATACCTGTCTCCCGCTAACCAAAAATATTCTTTCTCAGATGTCGAGAGATCCACAATTCTGCTATCGTGTGGGGGGAAGGGCGCGGGGCACGCAGTTAGTAAGATTGGTCTCTCTCTCTCTCTCACGCGTGCACTCTCTCTCACGCGCGCACATGCTTTTTTTTTTTAGAAGGTCTCAATGGACCAGGGATCAGTTATGAAACTGATCG